ATTACTGACTAGTATTTCATGATATGGATATATGGCAGTTTGTTTGACCATTTATATGTTAAAGGGCATTTGGATTGTTGCCCAGTTTTGGGGTATTACACATGGATATGCTGTGCGCATTCATATACAGGTTTTTGTGTCAACATAAGTTTTTGTTTCTCTGGCATAAATGCCCAAGAATGCAATTACCAGGTCATATAATGGGTATGTTTAGTTTTGTGAGAAATTGCCATATTCTTTTTTTATAATGTCGAATACCATTTTACATTCCTACCAGCAATGTATGTGAATTTCTTCACCCTCACCAACATTTGGGGCTGTTGCTGTGTTTTGTTTTAGCCATCCTGATAGGTATGCAAATTATGCTTTAAAAAATTTATTCTTTTAGTACTTTTTAGCTGTAATTCCTCTATAGAGAAGAAACTTTTTTTTTTTTCCATTAGCTGTTTGATAACCCTGAAATACTGTCTGTAAAAGAAAGGAAGGGTAAAATGTTTGATTTCTTTTCTTATTTCTATCAACCCTTGCTTTGGAAAGCCACTTTTCAGAAAAACAAATTAGTGGCTTGTTAGCCTTCAGAATGACTAATTAGCTTTTTAAAAAAGTGTTAGTATGAACTCATGGGTTTATAAAATAATTGACATGATTATCTTCTCAGGGTGAATTATTAGAAGAGAAATTACCATATCAAAGGGTAGACAAATTTAAAATTTTGATAAAGATTACCCACTCACCTCGAGGTGGGCTGTTTCATTTTATGTTCTTGCCAGTAGTTTATAAAAATAATATTTATTTCTCTGTATTCTTGCCAATACTGGTTGGCCAGTTTTTAGTTATTCTTATTATACCAGTCTGTTGGCAAAATTGATACCTGTTTCTCTTTCAGTTCTTTAGTTAGAAGTAAAGCTGATCTTTTCACACATTATTGGCTTAAATTTAGCCAGTTCTCTGTTAATTACCTTTATCCTTGTTTCTATTAGGATATTGGTCTCTTTTTACATTTTTATGTTATTACAGCTGTCAGCCTTTTCCTTGATGATTGCTGCTTTGTCTTTGCTGAGAGTTTTTCCTATTTTAAGATTATAAAAATACTTACCTATTTTCTTCTGGTGTCTCTCCATGATTTTATAGTTAAATATCTGTTTCATGGACAGGTTATTTTTATGTAAGGAGTGAGATACGAATCCAGTATTACTTTTCTCCAAATGTCTGACCAGTTTTCTCAATGCCATTTATTAAGGAAACTATCTTTTCCCCACTGATTTGAGATGCCACTTTTATCTTATACTAGATTTTCTATAATCTTAAGTCTGAGTTTTCTGTTAGATTTTACAGGTTTGTCCATCTATTTATGCTCCAATGTCACAGTTTATGTTATTATAGCTTGATTTTGCATTAAAATAGTTGTTATTGGATTTTGTAAGATTATGAAAACCAAACAAACTTGTTCCTATATAGCGGTTGCTTTATAATGTGTTTTAATAATTGGTGTCACTGGTCTCTTTTCTTTTTTGTTGTTTTATGACTTTGCTGACAAAGCTCACAGATTCTTCTGGATGAATTTCGGAATTATTTGTGTTAAGATTCCCAAACAGCCCTTTTATATTTTGATTGGGATTGTATTAAATGCATAGGTTGATTTAGGGAGACTTGATTTCTTTACTACTTTGAACCTTTGCAGTTAAGGACATTGTCTATCATTTCATTTATTTAAATCTTTTATGTCCTTGAACATTTTTTATTAATTTACTCTGAAGTTTATTTTTGTTGCCTTCTCTGCCCTTTTATTTGAGGAATGCTTTTTAAAATTGATTAGATTCATTTTTTAAAAACTAGACCAAACCTTCTGGGAAAAATGTCAGATTTTATTAGTTGTAAGGTCAGTCTTCTAAGCTGCCTCTTCAGTATATCAGCCTCTCTAGGCAAGCAAGCTGTATGTCCCACTGTCCTTAGGGCAAATTAGATAATGGTCCTTCTGATGGTAGCTATTGTTTTGTTACTGAGTATAAATTGAAGCACATTTTTTAGAAAGATGGCAATGCTTGTCCAAAATTAGATATAACACAAAATTTGGGGTTTTAAATGGAAAAGTTTATTTAAGTACAGTATATGAGCAGCTTTTTATTAAGTGAAAATAACCCTGTAATTGTGAAAAACAGTTTCATGAGGAATACAAGTGCCAGCCTGCCCAGCCTTTGTTTCATTACATCCAGGAATTTATGTTTATTTGCTGCTTGTATGAGCTATCTTTATACCCAAACCTATTGTAGTCTAAATAGAATAATAATGATAAAAGCAGCACGACTTATTGAGATCCTTCTATATGCGAGGAATTGTTGTGTTTAATGTATGTTAATTTCTTAAATTCATGGAACTTGTTTTTTTGTTTGTTTCTTTGAGGCAGTGTCCAGGCCGGAGTCCAGTGGTGCAATCTCTGCTCACTGCAACCTCTGTCTCCTGGGTTCAAGGGATTCTCTTGCCTCAGTCTCCTGAGCAGCTAGGATTTCAGGTGCCCGCCACCACACCTGACTCATTTTTGTATTTTTAGTAGAGACTGGATCTTACCACATTGGTCAGGCAGATCTCGAACTCCAGACCTTAAATAATCCTCCTGCCTCGGCCTCACAAAGTGCTGGGATTACAGGCGTGAGCCACTGCGCCTGGCCTATTGTCTGTCAAACAAAATAAAGACTATGTTTATGAACTTTGTATAAATGATAGTACGGGATGCTCTGATTCTTCTGCAGCTTGCTTTTTTTCCACTCATGGTAATGTTTTTGAAATTTATCCATGTTGATGCTTTAGTTCCAATCCATTCATTCCTGTTGTTTGTCATATTCCATTCTATGAATACACCATCATGTACTTATCTGTTCTGCAGTTGATGGACAGTTGTTTCCAGTTTTTGCAGTGTGCTATTAATGTTCTTTTATGGTTCTTCCTTGTGGATATATATGCGATTCCTTAGGGTACCTACACATGAATGAAACTGTAGGGTCAAAAGGTATGTGTATCTTCAGTTTTACTAAATATTGCTAATTGTCTCCAAAAGTACTACTCCTTTAAGTGCCTGCCATCACTGATGAGGTTTTCATTGCTCTCTACCCTTGTCAATAGTAGGTATCAGTAGATTTTTAAATTTATCAGTTAGATGAGTGATATATCTCATTATTTTGAATTTCCCTGATTATTAGTGAGGTTGTGTATCTTTCTTTACATTCATCAGTATTACAGGTATTTTTTTCTAATACTCATATTGTATGTTATGGTTGAAAGTTACATGCAAAGTTTTAAGTAGCGCAAAGTAGCTACTACTGGATAGAACTATGCCCTGCTCGTATCTTTAAAACAAATGGGTTTTTTATACTTCAGAAAGTGAATATGAGAGTTAGAATTACATCTTTCAATACAGATAAATGAAAAGCAATGCTGAGAAGCTCGAGGAAGCCACATATAATGCACCATGTATGTAAAGTTAACCATACTGTGTATCTGTGGGCACAGTACTTCAGATTGTATTTCACTTTTTCTGTATGAGATGATCTTACCAACTTCAGGGTGATTGGAGGTGAGTGGGAAGTCAATGATACAGTGAATGCTAAGCACTTAGAATAGCATCTGGCATGTAAGCATTGTTGATATATAAAGAAAGTGTTGCTGGGCACCGTGACTCACACCTATAATCCCAGAACTTTTGGAGGCCAAGACAGGAGGATCACTTGAACCTAGGAGTTAGAGACCAGCCTGGGTGATAGAGTAAGACCCTGGCTCAAACAAAACAAAACAAAGTTAAAAAAAACATATAGAAAGTGTTGTAACTGCTTTGCATAATAGTCTATTTTCTGTAGATTCAAATGATATGAATTAGGGTGTAAAATGATGTATTGGAATGGTGTGTGTGAGTCTTCCCAGGGCAGGAAGTGCTGATGGAATTGGGGAGGGTGCACAGGGCTTCCCATGTGTTTTTTTTTCTCTCTAAAAATTGATGCAGATGCATCAGAGTGTTAAGATTTGACAGGATAGTGTAGCAGGTTCTTTTTTTTTTTTTTAACTGTTTGCTTAAAATATTTTAAAACAAAAGTATTTTTTAAGCATGGAAGAAAACATTGGCAACTGTGCAGAAACTTTTTGGAGGAAATAATTTGGGGTAATTTTCCAATTTGTGTGGAATACACACATACACACACACACACACACATGCAAATGTATGTACACACACACACATATACACACACACACACACACTAGAAAACATGGACTTTGGAATTAAAATTGATACTTGAATCCTGACTCCATTATTACTAAGAATCTCTCCAAGTCAGCCTTCTCATCTTTAAAATGTTATCTCATTTAATTCTCTCACCAAACCATGAGGCAAAATGCTTCATGGTTTGGTGAGAGAATTAAATGAGATAACATTAAGACCTGACACATGCGCCTAGTACTTAGTTTTAGGATGAAATATACATACTCAGCTTTAGTAATGTGAAAGACAGGTAACACCATCGTATGTAATTAAATTGGCCCTGAAATCTGGCAGCATTTATGAGATTGAAATGCTGTCTGTTGACAGTTGATTCTAATATAAATGTGCTTCCATCTCAGGGCCAGCTGAGGAGCTCACTGACATAGGGCACCCACAGTAGACGTGTGTCTGCTGTGTGTATATGTTCGGTCATCCTGCCTCTCTGCTTCCACACGTACACATGCTGCCCCTGTGTTACTTCGGTTCATCTTCTGTACCCTGTCAGTTTTCTGCTGGTCAGAACATCTGTGACTGTGACAGAGCCATCCAGGATTGCAGTGGATAGTTAGGCGTAATCACTAGGACTCTTCTGGGGGCCCTGGAACCTGGCTTCTGTTTGGGGACTCTGTCAGTGATCATGCGGCAGGGAAGAGTGGGCTGGTGCCGCAGAGCTGATGATAGAGATGCAGGCTAGGAGCTAGTAGACAACTGTGAACTGGCTTCATTTAAATGGTTCTTATGTCTCTTGACACAGGAATTTCTTAACATGGCTCCTGAAGAAGTGACCATCACAGTTCGCCTCATCCGTTCTTTTGAACATCGCAATTTCAAACCTGTAGTGTATCATGGAGTGAATTTGGACCAAACTGTAAAGGAATTTATAGTATTTCTAAAGCAAGGTATGAGATGTGAAAGCCATTTTGTTTTATTAGTATTTAAAAAAATTGCTGATTATGACATAGTAATATTTAATAAATCCTAAAGTACTTTGAAAGGGTAACCTGGGTTCTAAGCCAGGTGCTGGGCGAGCCCCTGTTCTGGGCCCTGGTGTATGTGGAGGGCCTCCCTCAAGGGCTCTCACTGAACAGTCTGTGTCCTCATGAGGGATTGTGACCATCATTTTTGGCTTCTTACTTTTTAATTAAAAACGGGTAATATCCAGGTTTGTTGTTACTGGGCTTAAGTGTTTGCAGGTTGATTAGCAAGGGAGTGTAGTATAGCTAATTGTGGTACCCAGATGAGCACAGAGGGTGTGGGGTGGTCGCATGGGGAAGCATGGTGGGAGGGGAGCAGAGGCCGTGAGAGGAAACCGTGAGCGCTGCTGGTAACCGTGGTCACAGACACAGAAATGGCGGTGCTCGTTTATTGTTTCAAACTAAAAGTAGGCATGAAGTTAGTCTTCATTCTCTTACATCCTTGATGGGTTTCTCTTCTCTGTTTTTAATTATTGAAGTGTTCCAAATCATTGACATTTGACCAAACATCTAAAATAAGGTTTTATTATTTTAATTGAAGTGTTATTTATATATGGTGCAATCTCAGATTTCATATCTAGTTCCATTGGTTTTGACAAATTTATTGCTTTATATCCAATGTAATTTTTTTCCCTTGACATGATTTCAAACCCATAGACAAGTTGCAAGAACAGGACAAAGAATTAATTCCTGGATGCTATTCACACAGATTTCCTGTGTTAACATTTTGTTATATTTGTTTTATTCCTGTGGAGGCCAAAGCAACTCCATCTTGGATGCTGATCTGCCATGTTGACTTTTCATTAGCCCCAGTTTTGAGATGCCTCTAAGATTTCCAGGTTACATAGTATTCCTTGTGTAAGAACAGGTACTTACTGTAAATCCTGACCTGTGGTCAAACACCTTGGAGTTAACTGTACATTGCTTGTCCTACACATCCCTTCAGAATCACCCTTTCCCTATGATATAAGCCCTGGGTCTGGGGTTTAGTGGCGTGTGGATCCACTGTCTTGTCCTGCCAAAGCCTGAGACAGAGACATGGCTTCTGTTTGTAAGTTCTCATTAAATGTGTCTTTCTAAGAAACTGAATATGTCAGCCTCTTTCTTCAGCCTCTTAGCTTCCTTGGAGTTTTAGGGGTAGGTTCACATAGACCTGCTCACCTTGAAACGATTCTGCTCACTCTTCCCTCTCTTCTCTTCTTTCTCTCTCATTCTGCACACTCCTGCTAGATTAGGTAGCATCCTCAACAAAGAGCAGTAAAATTTTAGAGAAGTGACAAGACAAAAGAAATGGACTCTGAATTTCTAAGGGTGACAACTTGTGAGAAGGTGAGCAACTGACAGATAGAGGCTAATGAGTAAAGCTCGTTAATGTGGATTCTCTTGTGCCATCTCCAGACTGATAAGGGTCTAAGCTTGTCTTCAGTGGTTAACCTTTGTTTTTCCTGGTAAAGAGGTGGGCAGGATACCTTTTGTCTTTGTAAATCTATTATTTGTCCTGATTTTAGGCAAACAGTGGAAGGGCTGAGAGCTTTCCTCCGTCTGCTGCTGCTGAATTGCGCTTAGCTCGAAACAGTCCTTATGCTAAAGAGGCATATTTTGGGGCACACTTCCTGGTCTCTGACAGTGTCAATTAGAAAGTGCCCAGCTTTTGAAAGATCGTTACCCAAAGCATAGTCAGAGTTTGAAATAGAAACAAATCCCTACTTTTTAATTTTATAATCTTTGTGTATTATGGGTTGCAGTGTTTCTTAATACAGCAAGTGCCGTGATGTTCTTCGTACATACACTGCAGCCTAAGTTCTTGAAGTCCTTGAGAATAAGATGTATTTTCAAACTGCAACAATGACAGGGGAAGATGTCTTTTTCTCAGGATCACGGTGTTCTTTTCTTCTCAGGTACTACAGATGCCTTCCCCAGCAGAGCAGTGGTACTGGTCAGTGAGATGCTCAGACCTGCCTCCTCACACCTTTCACCTGCAGTGGGAATAACAGCCACTGCTTGTTTTAATTGTGCACTTAGGGAAATGTGTTCCACTGACTAAAAGGTGAACTTTTGGGGTACAGACTTATTTGAGTTGTGGGCCCTGTGTCCAAGCCTATTTTTGTCATCTGATTTGAGATACTGTGAAACTCTGAAAGGTAGATGGGTCACATATTTGCCTTTTATACATAACAAAGACCAGATAGTTTGATACTGAGGGATTTTTGAAATATGTAATAATAATGATAGCAAACAGTACTGTGTATCAGGTACTATGCTAAGAATTTTACCTAGATTATCTCATTTCATCCTCATAGCATCCCTCTAAATTAGGAACCATTTTACAGGTGAAGAAACTAAGGAACAGAGGTTAAGAAGCTTGCCTGGCCGTGTGCAGTGGCTCATATCTATAATCCCAGCACTTTGGGAGGCCAGGGCGAGAGGATCCCTTGAGCCCGGGAACTCGAGACCAGCCTGGGCAACATAGCAAGACCCTGTCCCTCAAAAAACAAACAAACAAACAAACAAAACTTGCTGGGCATGGTGGCATACGCCTGTAGTGCCAGCACTCAGGAGGCTGAGGTGGGAAGATCGCTTGAACCCAAGGTTGAGGCTGCATTGAGCTTTGATTTGCACCACTGCACTCTATTCTGGGCCACAGGGCAACACTGTGTCTCAAAAAAATAAATGAATTAAAAAAAAAAATCTCGACTGATGTTGCATGGGTAATAAAAGGCAAAGCTGCAGATCAACGAGGCGTGTGTTAACTATCAAACATGTACTCTTATTAAACACTGCACAAAATTGTTTCTTTATTCTTCTCTACTGTCTCACTTGGCTGAGTGGGAATCTCTGAAATAAATGGACAGACTCAGTGTCAAAAGGGCCTTTGAATTTAGTTCATCTTGCTCTAGCATTTTGAATGCTGAGTGCTATAGAGATTGTCTGACACAGTGGCATAGTGAATTTTGTGCAGATAGAGAAATGGTCATTGTGAAGAAAGATCTCTTGGAGTTTTTTTTTTAACATACTTTATTGCCTTTCTTTCTTTTTAAATTAAGTTTTATTTTTTGATCCCCTTCCCTCCCCAAGCCTTTCTAAATGTTCTTTTCTTTTGTAGTCATGTTTGGCATTCACAGGTTAACCTAGTCACCTGCCATCACTGTTTGTATTTTCTCCTCAGCCAAAAAGTTTTGGTTAAATTTTATTCATTCCCCATTGAGAATCATGGTCCTTCCTAGAGCATCAGGTCATCAAAAACTTAAGCCGTATAAATATAATAAATATAAATTTGTGTATTTACATATAAATATAATAAACCTATTGCTGATGTATGAGAAATTGATTTTTTTGTTGTTGTTTTGAGACAGAGTCTTGCTCTGTCGCCCAGATTGGAGTGCAGTGGCGTGGTCTCCACTAACAACCTCCACCTCCCGAGTTGAAGTGATTCTCCTGCCTCAGCCTCCCGAGTAGCTGGGATTACAGGCGTGCACCACTATGTCCAGCTAATTTTGTAATTTTGGTAGAGAATGGATTTCACCACGTTGGCCAGGCTGGTCTCAAACTTCTGATCTCAAGTAATCTGCCTGTCTCAGCCTCCCAAAGTGCTGAGGTTACAGGCATGAGTCACTGCACCCATCCTGGGAACAGCTATTAATCAAATATTATGATCATAGAGGTATCTATAGATGACTATATTTTTTTTAGATTCAGAATACTAGACAAACCAATTATCTAGATAATAAATTTATTTTAAGCATTCTTAATTTGGAATCATTTTAATTCTTATTAATACTTCAGATCTGGTTTCGAAATGTGAAGTCATCTCAATTATGAAAAAGAACAGTGTGGAAGTTCTGTCCAACTGTCCAGTTCAGTCTGATCTTTTTTTTATGGTTAGACTGGGCTTATGGGTTTTTGGGAGGAAGGTCACAGAGGCAGAGTGACTTTTATCAGATCGTATGAGAGGTGTACGCTTTCCACATGATGTATGATTATTGATGTTGACCTTGATTAAGTGGCTGAAGTCACATCAGTTTTCTCTAATGTAAATGTACTCTTTTTTCCTTCCCTTTTCAAATTGTACTTTTCAGAAGGAATTCATATCCACAGTTAATGACTCGGGGGTTCTGCTCTCCTTCCTTTAGAATAAAATGTTTATAAAAATCCTTTGGGGTTCTGCATGGCAGGCTTTACTTTGTTGCTCAGATTGTTCTAGCTTTGGGAGCTCTTTCAGTTGCCTCCTGAGCTCCTTTGACATAACGGCCTCAGTGTGTATGGGTGCATGTGGTCAGTATTTTTACTTTGTGGTGCCACAGGATGCTCCAGGCTCACCTTGTACATGTCCTGTTCCTAGAATCAGCTTTATTTCCAAGGAGTCTCAGTTCTTTTTCACTGGAAAATGGTATTAAAAACCAGGATCTAGGTACTAGATGTTTTCATTACTATTAGAGTGTTATTTCTTTCTTTCTTTTTTCTATAGTGGCTATCTAAAGACCAAGAGGTGTTATTTTAGACTGTCTTAGTTGATAGGGCAAATAAATTTGTGTGTCTGTATTAACCTGTGCATATGCACACATCTACAAATATTTTAATATGTAACCATCTAGATATAAATATGTTACACATGAATTCTTACTGATCTTTCCATCTCTGATCCATTACCCAATGGCTCATTCTAGCTTCCTTTCCTTGTTTATCTGTTAATTCCCACACCAACAATGAGAAACATGGTTCTGCCACCTGCTATCCATTTATTTAATCATTTAATTCTAGCATACAGGTATAGCAGTGTATCCCCATGGGAAGCAACTTGCTATCAGTTAGGTACAGACCTTTTGTGTCGTTTTGTCATAAGCACTGCAGTCTTATAAAATCTGTTCATTCCCAGAGTTACTTAGGTCAGCACCTCTTCTTCTTCTCCCTTCTACTCCCTTCAGTGA